AGGTTCAGGGGGAGGAGGAATAGGAGGGAGGGGTAACTTGGGAGTATACATGTGTAAGGAGCAGAGGTGTCTGGGAGATGACTCGAGGCTGCCAATATGTAGTGGGGGAGACTGAGCGATTGGGGCTGGATAGAGAGTTTGGGGTTCATTTGCTTGATCAACGATCTCTTTAAACACAGGTCATCTCGACAGGAGAGCCCTCCTTGTTTTATGCAGATAGCCTCAGCCATCTCTATCAGAGCCCCACCCCCCAAACCTGAGGAGGAGATCATTGATTCACTTAACACGCACTTCTTAAATGTCCACTGTATATAGATGGAAGCGTAAAGGGAGCAAGCAAAGGTACCGTGAAGCAAGTCCTCCCAGGTACCACCAATACCAATACCAAAGCCAAACCAAACTGAAACAAATAATGAAGGCTACATGAAAATAAATAGAGTGAAATAACGTAGAGAAGTGCAGGAAGCTGACAGAAGAACCTGACTGCCTGGTAGAAGTCACACCCAGTGGCTCCTCCCAACTGACTTTTAAATCCCTGTGTTTCAAGGGCCCTTTTCCAACCTTAACTGGAAATAGCAGTCTCTATATGGAGCCACTTATATGTCTAAAAATAGCTCTGGAGAAACAGAGCTGAGGCAGGGACTGGGGGGGGGGGAGCCAGTGTTGAACACCAGCTTCCCTGGAGGGCACTACCCACTGGACCACAGTTGCTCCAGGCTCACTCTGCAGAGCACTGCCTCTAGAATTCCAGGGTTCAAATCCCATCCGTAACATGAACCACCTTGGTGACCCTGAGCAAGTCCAGGGGGAAGATTTTGACTGTAGTAGCTGCTAAATGTTGTTAGGAGGATCAGCGGGAAACAGAATGCACTTTATAAAGCTTAAAGGGCTCCATCGAGGTCTGCTCTTATTGCTGCTGTCATTGTAAACTTATTCTCATCCTTTCCGATGAAATTCAGATAGAAATTATTCTAGAACAAGTCACTGTCTGTCAATTATTCTTTTATATTTGATGTTTTGTGGGCTGTTGCACAAGAAGATAAAATGATAAATGCTTTTTGTAATGGAATTAGAGAATTGGGATATAAGTTATTAATATTAATGTCAGAACGATTAATTATGGACAACTAAGTGGTTCAGTGGATAGAGCAACAGGCCTGGAATCAGGAAGACCTGAGTTCAAATTCGGCCTCAGACACTGACTAGCTGTGTGGCCCTGGGCAAGTCACTTAACCCTATTTGCCTCGGTTTCTTTTTTAAAATGAGGTGGAGAGGGAAATGACAAACAACTCTAGTATCTTTGCCAGGAAAACCCCAAATGGGGTCAGGAAGAGTCAGACATAAATGAAATAACTGAACACCAAAAACCCAATTATATTTTTAAGGATTATAATTTAGTTATAAATTACAATTTATAATTTGATAACTTATTAATCACAATATTTTATTGTATATTATCAATCATAATAACTGACAGAATTGTAATATTGTATATTATTCATCATAATTAAGTGACGGAATAATTAAGTGACAGTGTTCACAAACTGTGTGTCCTTGGACAAGTCATTTGAACTTTGGAACCTCTCTTTAATGAGACCTAGAGTGGATAATCTGTATCTGAGTTCCCTTCCATTTCAATTATTCTTAGCTCAGGTTCCAAATACAGACAGTAAGAGCATTTGGGTAGTTAGAAAGGGGAGGGAGAGGTGTGTTTAGTGGCTTCATGGGAGGCTCTGGGAAGAGGAGTGATCTTGGCTAGGACACCTTTTAGCCTTTTCTAGGTTGAGTTCATAAGTGGTTCCTTCTGAGTCTCGGGGCTGGAAGGGAGGCTTTCTGAGCATATTGGCTAAAGGCAGACCCTTGTATTCCATAGAGAAGGAAAAATACAGCCATCCCCTCAGAACTGGACAACCACCTAGGTCCAAGAGGCAGCAGGATGATTTGGTAAATAGAGAGCTGGCCTCAGAACCCCAGGTTCCAACTCTGATACAAACTGACTGTGTAACCATAGGCAAATCATTTCACATCTGAGTCTTCTGGGCAAGTAAGATTATAAACTGCTGAGAAGGTGCTGACCTCCATTGGAAAAGAGTTTTCTCCTCGGGATGTTCCCTATATCAGTAAAACCACAGGTTTAAAAAAAAAACACCCCCCAAACAGCAAATGGCCTATCCTTTTTTTGGTAGGGGGAGGGCCGAGGTGGGAAGAGTCATCTTGAACTGTTATGGTGACAGCTGGGAGTAGGAGAGAGAAAATAGCTACTCAGTTGATCTTAAAAAAATACCCTGAGGTTCATATACATATAATCTACCTATAAACTTTTACTTTCTCCAAGGTTTAGGAGTAGGACTGCCTTTTTTTCTTTCCACATCCTCTCCCTTGAGATAGCTTTTTGAGGGTTCATTTCTCCCCTTCAAATCTGCCTTTCTATTTACTTAGCTATGAGACCATGAAAAAAAATCACCTCCCAGAGCCTTAGCTTTCTCATCTGTAAAATGGATCCTGGATCCTAGATTTGGAGCCAGAGGGTACCTCAGAGCTCACCTAGTTCAATCCCCTCATTTTACAGGTGACTAAATTGCTCAGAGACTTTAAGGGACTGACCAAGGTCATCTAGAAGGAAGCTAGCTGCTCTAGGATTTGAATTCAGATCATCTGCCCCCAAATTGAGCCCTGTTTCAACTAGACCGTGATGAGAAATGATCCTTATGTTACCTGCCTCTCAAGGCCATGAGGGAGACACTTTGTAAACCTCAAAGGGCTACATAAATATTTTATTAATTATTGGGTTTATTTTTATTATTTAATAATGTTATTAAATAATGATGATAACAATACTTCAAGAATCTGTAGTTTTGTTGGGGTATTCTCTTGCCCAGAACAGGTTCAAAACCCTCTCTAACTTAGGAGAGAGTCTTTGGGAGCTGCCAATGCCAAAAAAATTCAATAGCATAATAGAATTAGAGTTGGAAGGGACCTTAGAAGCCACAAGCCTAATCCCTTCATTTTACAGATGGGGAAACTGAGACCCAGAGAGGCCAAGTGATTTCCTCAAGGTCACACAGCAGAGCCAGGATCCAAACCTGGATCCTCTGAATCCAAATGCAATGTCCTTTCCACTATACCGTACTTGGCCACCAATGTAGTGATGAGCGACCCCAAATGTAGCTTGGTTTGTCCTAAGACAAGAGGCACAATTAGCTCATCATTGGACCCATTCACAGAGCCTGTCCAACTTCAGCCCTACTCATGTGGACTTTAAGAATGAAGGGTCACCTGAATGCTACAATGAGTCATCAGAAGAGGACTTTATCCAAGGGATTATGAGTGTCTCAATGAATAGGCTTCAGAGGCTCTCTTCTAAAACATATTGGCTGTGTGACCCTGAGTAAGTTACTTAACTTCTCTGTGTCCCAGCTACCTCTCCAAGACTACAAATTACAGAGTAGTTGTTCATCTTTATTGGTGGAGGGGATTTCTTTACCTAGAGTTCCCTTTGCCAGTGAAATCACAGGACTGGTCCCTTCACACACACAAAAAAGAGTGTTAGGTGTTGAGATTTTCTTTCCCCTTTCCTATACCTTGTAGGGACAACTGTGGTCTGAACCCCACAGAGACATCTTTACCTGGGCAGAATAGAGCAAGTCATTACTCAAGGGAGGAAGTAGTCAGTCAATGGAGGGGACTAAGAAGTGTAGAGGGGGACGGGAATGGAAGAAAGAGTTGGTAGTAAATGTTGGTGAGGGCAGACGTGGCTTCTTACTGGGCGAAAACCTATTTGCAAGGCTGAATTAATGCTAGAGGATCCTGACTCTGCAGTGATACATGTTTCCTTTTCCCATTGGAACTCCTAGACACATAATGACAACATTAACTAGTGTTTGTGGGAGGCTTACAAAGCATTTTACATACATTATCTCATCTGGTCCTCAATACCCTTGGAGGTAAGCGCTACTATTATCCTCATTTTATAGATGAGGAAAATAAGACTGAGAGAAGTTAGCTGACTTTCCCAACGTCACACAGCTAGTGAATCTTTGAAATAGGATTTAAAGTCAGTCCTTGAGGCCAAGCCCAGTACCATCTACCTGCTTTGGAATCCATCAGTCCTCAGTGGTGTCCCTTTGAGGAAAATAAACACATTCGAGGCATTATTCATCATGAGCATTCCCAGTTTCTTTGGCCCTTTTCATCTCGGATCTTCTCAAAGATCCCTTGTGATACACAGTCCCTATGCTGTCTGCCAGGACAGGCAAAAAAGACCCTTTATCTCCAAATGTTGTCTATGGCACCGGTGAGGAATTCAGCAGAGATGGAACCAGAAACTGCAGCCCATTACCGTCTGGGAACGTGGGTTTAGGTCTTTGGGGGAGGTATTACAGAACATGAAAACAAGGTGGTCTATATGGGAGGGAGCGAAGGGGTTGGGGATGTGTGGGTGTGTGTGGGTGTACGTGTGTGGGTGTGTGCTTTCTGCACGCATAGTCCAAGCCTCTTTTCCAAAAGAAATCTTTTCCATGTTTTTTTTTTCCCTAAGTGAAGGTTCAAAAAGGTTTCTAAGCAAAGACTAAAGGTACTGGAGCTCTCTCTCTCTCTCTCTCTCTCTCTCTCTCTCTCTCTCTCTCTCTCTCTCTCTCTCTCTCTCTCTCACACACACACACACACACACACACACACACACACACACACTCTCTCTGTGTTTCACCCCAGTGGCGGCTCCCATTCCCCTGTCTGAGTTCATGGAGGGCTTTGGAAAGTGACTCATCCCCTGCTTTGGCACTAGTGGGTTTATTACAGAAGACAAGCAAGAAGTTTTGCAGACAGTGGAGAGTTGATTCTGTGACAGCCCTGTGATTTAGGGCGTATCTGGTCAGCGTTTACTGTTCCCAGTAAGTGAGAGCCCAGGACCCAGCAGCCGAGGAGGCAGTCCGCCTGCCTGCTGCCTGGAGAAAGGCAAGGACCAGGCAGATTCCTCCTAGGGCCACGCAAACGGCTGCTCCTCCCTCCTTCACAATCTGCTGCTTTGACTTATAACTTGCCAAGCAGCCTCTAAGGGAGCTTCATTGGTTCAGTAAGTGGTACAACCATTTACTTTTTTTTTTAACCCATCTATTTATATACATTTTTTTCTTTAAATCATGAAGAAGGAAGTAACTTGAAACCTCTGCTTAGAGAGCTGGCTCCCCCTCAGCGCATGAGAAACACAAAGAGTTCGGGCCAGGGTTTGTTCCAGGGCAGGTCAGAGGACTGTTTGCTGACAGGGACCTGGTGTGTGGCGGCTGCCTCTTGTGGAGCCTGGAGGACGTCCTGGATGAGGCTCCGTTGGCTCAGGGACAGCTGGATTGGTCTCCTCCGGATGCTCAAGACATGAAGGGGGATGGAAGTGCTGTGTGGAATCTAATGTGGAAATACTGCATCTCAGTCAGGACCGTCAGGTACAGCGGGGTGCCTGGTGCTACTGAGTCCCTGCCTGCCCCATCCTGGGGCTGCCAACAGATGCCCACTTAGCCAGAGCGAGCAGGTCAGAGAAGAGGGTTAGGACTAGTGGCAGCTCTGCCCAGGGTCTCTGCAGAACCTTGACTTCTATTAGGGGCTAACAGCCTGGGCGATGGTAAAAAGCTCTGGGGGATTTCTCTGCCTGGCCAGCTGGTTGAGGCTCCTTTTGTCCGTAGCAAAGGGAAAAGTTGAGTGGAAAGGATTTTGGCTTGGCTACTTCCATTTTGGAAAATGGACTGGGCAGCAGCAAGGGTGTAAATACCGGAGACTGCCTCCAAATGACAGCATCAGACCGTTAAAACTGTTCTGGCAGCCGTGGAGGGGTCAGAGGGAGACCAAGGAGAGACAGGGGTCTCCTCTGGCTTAGTGGCTTTCCGCTTAGGGAGGGAGAGGGGAGGAAGGGAGTGTGTGGGCTGAAAGGGGCTGGCGAGGGATGGGAGCGATTTGGTGAAGAGTTGGGAACAATACAGGCACAAGTGTGTGTTTGTGTAATAAAGTGTGAGTGTGTGGGTGTATATACACTATAATGTCAGGTGTGCGGTCTGGTATCATGTATATAGTATTTCCACATAACAGATATGAGAGTATGGGTATAGAGGGGGTGAGTGTATTAGGTGGATCTGTGTGTAGTGGACAGTACGAAATACATATACAGTATGGCCTATACGTGGTTACAGATGTTTGTTCCGAAGAGGATATGAGAGGGAAGGGGTGTGGTTCATGCATGTGTGTGGACAAGTGTGCAATGAAGTTTGAGGTGGGGAAAGGCATGAATATGTGTGCAGAATAACAAGTCCTTTGCTCAGTTGTTTTTTCAGTCCTGTCCAACTCTTTGTGACCCTATTTGGGTTGTTGGTTTTTGAGGGGTTTTTTTGGCAAAGATACTGAAGTGGTTTGCTATTTTCATCTCCAGCTCATTTTACAGGTGAGGAAACTGAGGCAAACAGGCTTAAGTGACTTGCCCAGGGTCACACAACTAGCGAGTGTCTGAGGCCACATTTGAACTCAGTCTTCCTGACTTCAGGCCTGGTACTCTAATCACTTCACCACCTAGTTGCCCGATTAAAAATTAGAATTAAGTAAATATCTATGTCCAGGCTCAGGGAGAGGAGCTGGGAGCAGCCTCCTTAATTCCTGTGTCAGGGTGGGCCCCTAAGCCCTGCTAGTTCCATTTGGGGAGCAGCTTAGACTTGGCCTTCAGTGGTCTTTGAATAACATTCCTCACCAGAACCAAGGTGGGCAGAGGATTAAGATAGCTCTCCCTCTAAGAATCCCCTGCCTAAGTCACTGTCTCCATCTAGTGGGGGTCCTACAAGTACCACTTAACCACCCCTCACTGCCAGTATGGGGGGATAAAACACTGGGCTTGGAGTTAGGAAGACCTGAGTTTGAATCCTGTCCCAGATACTATCTCAAAGACAAATCACTTCACCTCTCCCAGCCTCAGTTGCCCTATCTGTCAAATGGCTCCTCCCTCCCAAAGTAATGGTGAGACTCCAGTGGGATAAAATATCCAAATTGCTTTTCAAACTTCAGCTCCGTATGGATGTCAGCCTTTAGTCATCATTGCTGTTTTGATCTCATTGCCACAGCTGCTGCTGTCGTCATTATTATCTCTATGAGTCTGGCCTGAACTTAGCTGAATTAAATTTGGAGGGCGATACTGGCTCAGGTCCTGAGGTCTCATGGAGGAACAAGGCTAATGAGCTATTCTTAAGAAACCCTAAAGTTGAGAAGCCAAATTAGCTCGGGGAAAGACTGCAAGTAGCCTGGGCACGTGGACACCTCCTGGATCGGAGCACTCAGAAATGGGAGGATTTTCCTCCACTGGCTGGAGGCGGTGGAACGCCCCATGACAGAATGGGAGATTCTAGGCGTCTGTTCTCATCATCATCCAGAAACGGTGGGAAGAGGCCTCCCTGGGCCCCCGGGTCTCTCTTTCACTCCTGTTCTCTCTAGAGGCAGTGTGGTTGTGGGGGCAGGGCTGCCAAGCTTGCTCAGTACCTTGTGGTCGCTCTTTCCTCTGGCTGCATCTGTATCTTCCTCATGGCTTGTTTTTCTGGTTTTAGGGGATTGGTTACTTGCAAACCTCAAATGTTCTTTGCTTACTAACTCTGAGTGAGTGGGCTGTGTGGCTGCCCAAGACCTCATTCATGAGCAGAGAGGCCCTGGGGGCTGGGAATCTGCCCTTGTAGGCCTAAATTTAAAGGTACCCCTGTTGATCAACAGTCGTTGTCAGTGCTGCTGACTTATACATACACACATACACACATACCTATATGTATGAATGATGTGTCATGGCAGCCATCCCACCAGGGAGGTCTAAACCTATCCTCCATGCTCTTCATTGATACAGTCTACACATCTTCTACTTCCTAAGACTAGGGAAGGTCAGTTATGGCGAACTAACTGCCCCCATGCTTTTAAAGGGCTGCTTCTTTTTTTTTTTAAGGCAATTGGGGTTAAGTGACTTGCCCAGGGTCACACAGCTAGTAAGCGTCAAGTGTTTGGTCTGAGTTCGCATTTGAACTCAGGTCCTCCTGACTTCAGGGCCGGTGCTCTATCCACTGTGCCACCTAGCTGCCCTAAAGGGCTGCTTCAAAAGATTCCTCTGGGACTATAGATGATTCCCAAAAGACTCCTAGAACTAAAGAATGTTAGAATTGGAAGGGATCTCAGAGATCACCTAGTTCAATACCCTCATTTTACAGAAAAGGAAACTGAGGCTCAGGCAGGTGAGTTCATTTAAGGCCATTCACCCATTTATTTAACAACACTGCAGAAGATGGTGGGGGAAATATAAATTTTAGATAAACCATTTTCCTCAACCTTATGGAGCTTATAGTCTAATCTAGGAGGGGGATAGATAACATACAAAGACAGCTGTCATACAAAATAATACATAAGGGCATTGGAGAGATAGAATATGGTATTATGTGAAGTGCGAGAGGGAAAATGCTTACTTGAAAGGGGGATAATCAAAGGCTTTCTGAAAAAGGTAGCATTTGCTAGTTTGTAGCAAAGGTGCGCATCACCCTATCATCACTCCCTTCCCCCTCCACCCAAGAACATCAGGAAAGCTCCCACATCAGCCTAGTCTCTGTCTCAGAATAAAACTTATAAGGATTATATCTGGTTTTTTTTTTTTACACAACATTGTGGCTGCTGCCATCCTGGTTCACCTAGTTGGAATTAACAGATCTCTGAATCCTGTAGCCCTCACTCTCATTCCTCCCTCACGTAAAACTTCAAGCTTTGAAAGGTTTAGGAATACTGTCTGTGCAAGGAGCCATCACATCTCAGAGAAGCTAAGGAAAGAAAGCAAGCTAGGGGTCTGTTCAGGTTCAGCCTAGCTGAGGCAAGGAGACCCTTTCAGAAGCCCCAGTCTTCTGGGAGCCATCATGCAAACTGAATACAATCAAGAAACATTTATTAAGCACCTTCTGCATGCCAGACACCAGAATAGGTATTGAGAATTCAGTGAAGAAAACGAAACAGTTCTTGCTCTCAAGAAGTTTACATTCTATTAGGAGACAATATGTGTATATACAAGTATGTATTCAAAATAAATAGAAGGTATGGGGTGGGGAAGGAGGAGACACTAGCATCTGAAGGATCAGGAAAGGCTTCATATACATGGTGTCACTTGAGCAGAGTTTTGAAGGAAATAAAGGACCATAAGAGGCAAAGGAAAAGATCGAATCTACTTCAGGAATCAGAGGCATGGAGACTAGAGATGAACATTCTTTATTAGGAGCAGCAAGCAGGCCAGTATGAGTACAGGAAGGTAAAGTGTAATAAGTTTGAAAAGGGAGGTAAAAGCCATGTTTGAAGGGCTAGGTGGCATAGTGGATAGAGTTCCAAGCCAGGAATCAAGAAGGCTCATCATCCTGAGTTCAAATGTGGCCTCAGACACTTCATAGCTGTGTGACCCTGGGCAAGTCACTCAACCCTGTTTGCCTCATTTCCCTCATTTGTTGCCTCAGGGCATGCAGTTTGAAATATTCATTGTGCAACTGAACATACCTGATCTCAGGAGAAAGATTAGAGCCGAATTTGGTAGTCACCTGGATAGAGATGCCAATCAAAGAGTTGAAGGTACCGAGAGAATAAAGAGAAAAAATAAGAGAGAGCCCGGGACAAAGCCATGGGGCACACTCACAGTTAGGGGATATGATACGAAAGATGAACCGAAAAAAGAGACTGAGAAAGAGCAATTAGACTGGTACAGGAGAACCAAGGGAGAGCAAGGTCGTGCAGACCGGAAGAGGAGAGGGTCTCTAGGAGGAGACAGAGGTTAACGGCGTCAAATGCTGCATAGGGGTCAAGAAAGATAAGGAGTTTAAAAAGGCCATCCAGTTTGACGATTGACGGATCATTAGTAACTCTGAAGAAGAGAGCAGTTTCAGTTGAGTGACGAAGTCAGAAGCCAGATTACAGAGGGGTTGAGGAGTGAGTGAAAAGAGAGGAAGTGGAAGCAACAGGTGTAGATAACTTTTCTAGGAGTTTATGAAAGTGAGGAGGGAAAATAAATATTTAACTCAACCAGCATTTATCGAACATCTGGTATATTATATGCAAGACTAGTGTCTAACCACTGGGTTACAAAGACACAAATAAAACTGTCCCCACCCTCATGAGAACATTAACAGAAACCACTAATGCCAGGGAGAGAAGGGAAATGGAGAAGGGATACTATTTTATATCAGTAACATTCTTAGAAAGTCCCACACTCCAGAATCTCTTTGGGCTGACCCTGGGAGGGATCATTCTGTGACTGCAGATCATAGAGCCATAGTTCCATAAGAATATGAGAGTTGAAAGGGACATTAAAAATTAAATTTTTTAAAATGAAAATGAAAAAAATTAAAAAGCAAAAAGTCCTATTCCCTCATTTTTCAAAGGAAGAAGCTGAGGTCCATAGAAGAGAAGAGATGCC